AAATGTCAGCCTTCCTGCTCCTCTGATGCTGCTTGGCCTGCTGTGTTCATCCAGCTCCACACCTTGTTATCTCAGATTCTCCAGCATCTGCAGTTCCTACTATCTCTAATGCAAAAACAGCCTGCTTTGACTGGAAGGTGACCACATGCCACTGACCACATCTGAGTACTGCCCTGTTGTGCACTTTAGAATTAGACTTTATTGTCACCAGTATTCAAGTATCGGAATAGAGGATTACAGTTAAAAGTGTACACATCGCCATACTCCAGTGCCATCTTGGTTAAACACTTGATTACAAAACTGGAAAAAAAGAATGAGGCCACCTGGATTGGTTTCTCAGCCTGTTTTGAAGGTTGGAAAAGTACTACAGGCATTATTAAACATAGATTCAGCACACAATCTTAGGTTCAGAATAGCACTAACGTCAGGCACTTCACCCCACTTATTGTTCCTTTTAACCATCGGACTGGGGTTCACAAGACTGGTGTCATGGAATCTGAGACAGACTTTCCAGAGTCCTTGTCAGTGAGAGACTCACACGCTTGTTTATATTCACTTGTTAGTTTGCATATGTCTCTGACATATATTAAGTAGATTAAGCTAATAAATTGGCTAAAAATTAAACTGCATGTGTCTTCTTGTATTAGTTTTGATTAGACGTTAAAGAACCTGATCGTACTTTCAGCCTAACAATACAGAGGGATAGGCCAATAGGGCTAATGAGGAGAAACTTCTTCACCTAGACAGTGGTGAGCCTGTGGAATTCTCAGCCACAGAAAGTGGTTTGGGGTCAGAACATGGAATGTTTTCAAGGAGTTAGATATTATTGAGGGCCAAAGGAATGAAAGGGTATGGGAAAAAAGCAGGAACAAGGGACTTAATTGGATGATCAGCCATGATCATATTGAATGGTGGAGGAGGTTCAAAGGGCCAAATGGCCTACTTCTGCTCCTATTTTGTGTTTCTACTCCATTTCCATACAACTTCTCCCAAAGCATAATCTTCTTTCAATGTCAACCAATATGCTGATGTAACCAAGCAAAGTAAGATTTCAGCAGAATATATCTGAGCATACAGAAATAAAATACTGGGGACACTGGAGATCTAAAATAGAAACAGAAAGTTCTGTGAAATTCAGCTCTTCTAGTAGTTTCTGTGCAGCGAAGAAAAAGAGTTAATGTTGAGTTCAGCAAGACTCTTCTTTGGAGTATTTAAGCACGTCAGGGAGACCTCACTTTCTGCTTAAAGTTAATACACTCTTGGAAGTCCGAAACTAAAAAATAGGACGGGTGTCCAAAATTACAGGGCATAGGTTCAAGGTGACAGGGGAAGGATTTAAAAGGGACCTGAAGATCAATATTTTCCAGATAAATGGTAGCGCATATATGGAACGAACTGCTAGAGGAAGTACCCAATATAACATTTAAAAGACATTTGGACAGATACATGGATAGGAAAGGTGTAGAGGGATATAAATAAAATGCAGGAAATGGGACTTGTTCAGTTTAGGATACCTGGTTGTCTGGGATGAGGTGCCTGTTTCTGTGCTGTATGACTATGACTTTTACTACTCGCTGTGTAAAAAAAAAAAGTTTATCCTCATTAAATTTACTCCATTTGCATATCATTTTAAATCTACACCCTTTCATTCTTTATCTTCTTACGTCTGGGGACATTTTCCCAAGTCTACTGTTCAAAACTCGCATCATTTCAAAAAAACTTACTTTCAGATCTCCTTTCATTGATTTCCCTCCAAGGAGAACAGACCCAACCTCTCCAATCTATCCTCAAGATCTCTGGAACCATTTTTTGTTAACCGCTTGCGCACTCTTTCCAAAGCATTAACATCCTTCGACCTCTGTCAGATCTCATACATTTCAATAAGATCACCTCTCATTCTTCTAAAATCCCACAGGATAGGCTCAACCTCTCAGAAGTCAACCCCTTTGTTCCAGGAATCAGGTGCATGAACCTTCCCTGACTTGCCTCCAATGCAAGTCTGTACCTTCTCAAAGGCGGTGTCAAAAATTGTGCAGTTGTTTTAGTTAAAAAAAAGTGGGTCTCGCCAATGCCCTTACACATTTCTTACAAAACTACCCCTATTTTCGACTCCATCGCCTTTGCAAAAAAAGTCAACATAGTGCGCCTTCCTCATCACTCACTAAACTGACACACTCAGGCTTCAGAACTCACCTCTCAAAACAATTGAGAACACGAAGCAAAAAACTAAAGAACTGTGGATGCTGGAAATCAGAAACAAAAATTGAAATGGCTGGAAAAATTCAGCAGGTCTGGGATATGTGTAGAGAAAGCAGAGTTAATGTTTCAGGTCCAGTGACACTTCTTCAGACCGGTTGCAGCTAGGAAAAGACTGGTAAATATGAACAGGAAAAAAAGATTAGACTGGAAATCTTGATGGAGAAAGGAGCAGAACTTCAAGATGGGCATACTTGGAAGAGATGTGGCAATGAAATGTGGCAGGAAGCGAGTGGGGACTTAGCAAATCCCTGCCTGATACCCTATAAAAACTGAAAGAACTGCAGATACTGTAAATTAGGAACAAAAACGAAGTTGCTGGAAAAGCCCAGCAGGTCGAGGAAAAAACTTCACAGATGCTGCCACACCTGCTGGGCTTTTCCAGCAACTTTGTTTTTGTTCCTGCCTAATACCCTGACTGGCAGGAGCACATCTCACTGGAACCCACTTCCCTGGTTGTTACCTTCAGGCTGCGGATATTAGCAGAGTTGGCACTGGATCGCAGCATGACCTGGATCTCCTGAAGCGTCTCCTCACCAGCTGGCCGTGGGCGTGTCACCTCATCTGCCACTTCCCGCGCTGCCTCCTCCAACTGCAAGGAACAGGAAGCGAAGAGAGAGACAAATGGTATAACTACGGCCATGGACACATCACATAGTGCTTCCATCCACTGCGAGGCGAGGTTATGGAGTGCTGATACCACGCATCCTTCTCTGCTGGGACAGTGGCTATGCTGCAAATTAATTAACCCAAGCATACCCACACTCGCTCCTCATTTAAATCACCTTCTACCCAGGAGTAGCACCATGACAAAGATACAACAGGCAATCCACAAGGAAACTCACTCAGGTTGAGAACTAGGGGAAATCAGTAATGACCCGCTACCAATTATCGCTCCTTGTTCACCATGAGCAGCCCTGGACAACAGCAAACTATCTGACTGCTTGGCCATCAGAACTGTAGTTCATCTGGCATTTATTAACCACACAGAAAGGGTGCAGTCCAGGGTAACTGGAAATGCAAGGGCAATCGTTCACCAGCTCAGTCATTCCAGCCTGTGACTCCTCCGAGCACTTGGTCAGCAGTCCCCCTGAATGGAGCTGGTCAATGTGGGATAGGTGATGCTCCCTCCTGATGTTTTGGGCAAAGGGGCACTGCCTTGGGCTCTTACCAGAGGCAGGTGTTCAGAGGGTTGCTTGAGAAGGTAGTCAGCCAAATCCTCATCGAAGCTGCTCAGATCCTCCAGTGACACCTCGATCCAGTATTCCCCCAGGTTGTAGTGACGTTTCAGTTCATCCCTGTGCATCAGTCAAAACCCAAAGGAATTAAACGCCAGAAGAGCAAAGAGCAAGTTAGCTGCCCTGTATATCTCTTCTTCATCTGCCCTTCACATCACTGCCCTCCCAATTCCCAATCATCTGGCCTCATCGCCCCAGACCACTCCAGCACCCACTCACCCTATGCCCCCAGCACCCCG